TGTGTGTGTGTGTGTGTGTGTGTGTTGTGTGTGTGTGTGTGTGTGTGTGTGTGTGTGTGTGTGTGTGTGTGTGTGTGTGTGTGGTGTGGACCGACGTGTATAGGGGTGGGCTGCGATAGATAGATAGATAGATAGATAGATAGATAGATAGATAGATAGATAGATAGATAGATAGATAGATAGATAGATAAATAGATGGATAGATAGGTAGATGAATATATTATTCCCTGGTTAGTTTCATTATTCTATAGGTTACAGGGTCAACTATCGTACTAGTAACAATTAGCAATTACGTAATCAGACATTCCTACCGCACTGAGCTTTTATACCACCACCATGCCCATCACCATCATCAACTGTAATCACCAAATCAAGGCTCGAGGGCGTACTACAATCATCGATGAGTGACCAGGCACTCGGTATTGTTTTGCCAAACATGCGCGGGGTCCCGCACCTAGTCACGTGTAGCCGTGCGCGCCTGCCGACACGCAGACGCTCGCAAAATTATGAAATGTTCTCGGCCGCCGATCAACTATAGCACCGTGGCGAGGGAGAGAGAGAGAGTGAGTGAAAAAGAGAGAGAGAGTGAGTAAAAAAGAGAGAGAGAGAGAGAGAGAGAGAGAGAGAGAGAGAGAGTGTGTGTGAGTGAAAGAGAGAGAGAGAGAGAGAGAGAGTGAGTAAAAGAAAGAGGAGAGAGAGAGAGAGAGTGAGAGAGAAAGAGAGTGAAAGAGAAAGAAATAGAAAGGATGGAGATAGAGAGATAGAGAGAAGCGAGATAAGAGGCATGAGATAGATAGAGATAGAAGAGAGAGAGAGTTAGAAAGCTTTGCTCATTGATGATAGGCGTTGTTAGCGATACCACGATACTTTCTCCCGCAATACGTACGTCTGCGCGCGTAGCGAAAAGAAATTTCGCAGTTCGATATTAAAATATTTACGCGTTCTCTCGTCTCCGCGATCACACCAGTCTGATCTAGTTCACGCTACGAGGGCCTTCGTTTTTTTTACCTACACGCCTCAATGTGGTCAATTTAAGTTCGGCGATATATACGCTACCTAATGTCAGCTTGAATGGCCAATAACCGGGTTACAAGGAGCACTTAGTTAACCGAGTCAACCCACGGCAACCTCTTTACGCGGACAACGGGCGCGCGCGGGTGCCTCGTGCTCGTGCTCAGAACGGATGCGTTCTTCTACGTCGCTGTTGTACGTCAGCCGCGATGTTTACGTTGTTCGCGCTCCGTAATATACGGTGCGTCGCGTCCGAGCGCGTCTGCCTTTCACTGATGTATAACCCTGCCCCGCCAACGCGACGGGCAGACGATCATTCTCTGCGAACTTACTGCCCACATATGTGTTGGCGCCTGCCACCAGCGCGAGAGACGGGCCATGCTTTCGTCGCTTGTAGCCGTAATTATGTAACTATGAAGCATATTTGCTATCATTCTTACTAGAGGCGAGTGAATGATTTCTATGCAGTATAGATGTGGAGAGTGTTTTGTCTGGATTCCTAGCTGAATCAGGAGTGCTTCGTATATATATTTATATGAATTAGCACCATCGCAA